GGCTCAACTGGGAAGGCTCATCAAAAGCTATGGAAGCTGATGTTTGTTTCGATCTAGTCAAAAGGTAATTACTAACCAGGTATGTAATGATCAAAATAAAATAATAGTTATAATAATAGTTGTTAATGTGTTGAATTCACAGTGTTATTGCTCCAAAGAGAGACTTGTGGAATCTGTTCTTATGATATCAGTGTTACAGTAATGATACTTGAACCATGAACAGTGGAGAGTCTTACAGTACCTCACACCCTTGGTAATAATGGCTGAAAATTTGACAAGAAAGCAAACATAAAAATGCACCTATATTTTTTTATTACGGGTATGTTAAAAATTCAGAAAAGAAAATACTTTAAGATAATGCCTAGGTGTAGTTTGAATGCCCTTGCTTTTCATGTCAAAAAATGTTATTTTTGTGGTTTTACTCTGCTTAACAGTTGTGGAGAAAAAAATGCAGTTGTATCTGTTCTTGTTGGGGATGATGATTCATCCACCATAAGCAAAGTGAGGAAAAATGTTGAGCACGAGGTTGAAAAATGGTCAGATGTAGTCCATACTAAAAGATCCTTTGGTAGCTCACTATACCGTATCAAGACCCAAAACAAAAGCCTGACAGATATGGTGATACGGTATTTCCAGCGATGCTTTGGTTATGCACTAAAGCAGAATAAGGGTGATGAAGAGGGTGTGCGAAATGGTCTCAAGTCTATCGTGCCCCGTGCTTATGGTGACCATTCTTCCTATGGCAACTGGTGTGGCTACTTGGAAAATCCTGCATCCTACAAACACAGAGGCCTTCCCCATGGCAAGGATCTGACAGACAAAAATTTGAGGCAGTCCCTGAAAAAGATCATAGAAGTAGGTATAGTGTACATGTATGGTGGTACATCTTGCTCCTCGTAAATTCCCAATTCCCGCCATTTTACATGTAGTAGAGAAACACAACTCTAAGAAAATAGTGTTGGTACTTATGATTGTATTCTAAATAATAACTTCGAGGGATAAAGCTATAAGTGTTAGGGGACTATCAACCTCTTTCTTAGATAGATAGACTGTGTAGATAGACTGTGTTTTATTAAAATTACATTGCAGATAAAACTGAATTGCGTAACTTCACATTAATTAATTGTACAAACTGTTTCTGCAACACATATTTATGAAACTTGTTGCCGCTCTGTCGGTCTTACAACGATTAAGATTGAAATTCCTCTGTTTCCTAAAATTGTAATTAGCCTGATAACTTTTTGGGATTAAAGAATGAATTTTGTTGTTTTTGTTTTCTAAAACTGATCGGAAAAGTGCCGATGTCAACTGTTCTTGGTGGGTTCTCAAGCTTGGGATGTTTGCTTGATCGAGGGCTTCTTTGTATGATGCTCCTGGGAAGATGCATGCGAGGGCTCTTTTCTGCTCTCTCTCCAGATCGACTTGTAGATATTTCGGAAGTGCATGGTGGAACACTGGGCAGGCGTAGTCTAGGCAGGACCTGATGGTTGCGCAATAGATTGCTACAAGATCGATTGTAGGTACTTTAGCCCGCTTAAGTTGAATCAAAAAATAGTGTTTTGAGTTGGATTTCTTTATTATTTCTGTAATATGGTTGTTCCAAGTTAGAGTTGAATTAATATTGAGTCCAAGAAGTTTAACACACTGCACAGATTCAATTAGTTCCCCGTCCACGTTGGTTTTTGGAAATTGGGGGTATTGAGGGCTAAAGCTGATCAACAGTTCTTTGGTTTTTGCGCAATTCAATTGAAATAGATTTTCCTCAGACCAGGACTGTACTTGGTCAACTGCACTTTGCGCGTGACTAATCTTTCCTTTCGGGACGATTTCTGATACCGTCGTATCGTCAACGTATTTCCACAGATTAAAATTGTCGAGCGAAACTGACAAATCGTTTATCATTAAAAGGAAAAGCCAGGGGCCCAGTTTGGTTCCCTGTGGTACTCCGGCAGGCACTTTGCTCCACTCAGAGAAACAGTCATTGCCAAGTTTAACTCTCTGAGCCCTATTTGAAAGGAAGTCAACTATCCAGTTAATAACGCTCTTCGGAATGTCCAGTTGATTCAGTTTTGATATTAGGATGGACTGATCTATTAGGTCAAAGGCCTTTCGGTAATCAAAAAGAAGGACCCGAACTGACGATCCGTTTCCGTCTGTTGCTTCAAGCCAATTGTGTATCATGCTTATGAGTGCCAGCACAGTGGATGATCCAGATACCGTTCCGAACTGATTTGGGTCCGCTACTTTTTCCACGGCCGGTTTGATGAAGTCAGAAACTATAAAATCCTCAGCAAGTTTTGATAACGCAGGTGTAAGTGAAATTGGCCTTAGCTCCTTCTTGGGATCAGTCACTTGTTTTACCTTTGGGAGGGGTGTTATATTCGCCAATTTCCAAACTGACGGCAATTTTTGTTCTTTGTAGGAAGTGTTCAAAATGACCGTTATGGGCTGTGCTAAAATTTCGGCGTATTCCTTTAGAACCCAATTAGGTATGCCGTCCGGGCCAGGAGCTTTGTGTTTGTTGAGGCGTTTCAGATTAATATACACTCGATGTGTTGATATTTTAGGGAATTCGGCGCCTTCTCCTGTAGGAAGGAGAACAGACGTGTTCTCACAGTTGATAGGCTGATAAGACTGGAGCGGTTCTAGAAGAGCTTCATTTATTGCACTGGCGATTTCTTGGGGGGACATGTTGGTGAATTGCTGTACATCGAGGGAGGACAGTAAATTGGGGTTTTGTTTTTTGGATCCACTCAGTTTATTTATCTCTTTCCACCACTGACGGGGATTCACACCTTTGAGATCTTGCACTTTTGAAGTATAGTAGGCTGCTTTGCATAGTTTCCTTTCTCTATTGACAGCATTGCGGTAGAATCTGAAAACTGGACCCTTCTTGTTGGAATGAAATGCATTTTGACGCAAACGAATCAACTCCTTGAGTTTTATTGTCATCCAAGGGGCGTCCTTCGGGTAAACTTTAATCGACCTTTCTGGCATGATGTTATTTATGCCGTTAATTATCGGTTCGTTGAAATTGCGGAGTTTTCCCTCACAGGAGCTTTGCATATTGATGCATGACCAGTCGACATTTCTGAGATAGCGGCCGAGACTTGTCTTCTTGCTTTCTCTCATATCCCTGATATTGATCTTTTTCCTGGTATGTTGGTTCAGTATCCTTTCCTTCGGCTTTACGATGACTGTGCTATGGTCTGACAGACCAAAGGGGGGAAAGCTCTCGGGCGTTGAGAAGTGATTGCCCATGTTTGTTAGTATTAGATCAAGCGTGGCCTGGCCTCTTGTGGGGAATTTAACAAGCTGCTTTAATTTAAAATGGTTCCGCAAATGGCAAATATCAAGACGGTTAAAATCGCCAGTGACAATAATTCCACAATTTGTATACAGAGATTCGGCTGATTTTAAACTGTCAAATAGATGGTTGAGCAAATTCTGACTGTCGGATTCTGCTGGACTGTTACGGCCTGGGTAGTAAACGACGGCCAGCAAGATGCAAGAAAAACCGCGGGGAGAGCGTGATGGATCTAATTTGAGCCAGATTATTTCATGGTCGTTACAGCAACGTAACTTCTCGGGAATTTCATATTTGACGTCCTCCTTGACATATACACAGACTCCTCCATGCTCGTGAGATGATCGGTCATTCCGTGTGATGTTATATCCTTCAATGTTTACAACTGTGTCGCTGATGTGGTCTTTCAGCCAGGTTTCTGTAATGCAGCAGACCTGAATTTTTTCCCTTAAGATTAGTTCTTCAACTTCACTCAGCTTAGGAACCAGTGACATAGTATTCGCTAACATAATGGTTGGTACGAAATGGCTGGTGTTTTGCTTTTGCATTTTGCCATTCTTTGTTGGAATTGTAATCAAATTATTGATGTTTCTTCCCGGTGCCCTTTGATAACTTCTTTGCAAGTGTCGTGTTTTCAGCGATTGATTGGATATAATTACTGGTATTCGGTGCTTTCCTGCTCTCTTTCCACGATATCTCAGAATTCCAGCAAGTTTTAACGAGCCTAGAGCATTAGAAGGTGGCGGTATTGAGATGGTACGGCGAATATTGAGAAGATCTTGGCGTGAATAACAGATTCTCGTGCAGTCGTTAGTATGCAAATAGGAAAGACAAACTGAATTCCCGCGAATTTTAAAACTTGGAGGATGATTTATGGTTCCATCTGTTTGCCAGTTTCGTTGATGTAAGGAAGAGCTTGGGCCCGGGTTGGTTGCAACATCCATATACATAGTTATTTCAATCGGAGGATCGTGTCCGGGAATGCTGAGGGAAACAAAGCCATGTTTTCTCCAAACGCAAATTGCACGGCCTGTTCGGTGGAAACCGGTGGAACCGCTAATAGAATATCTTAGTTTCACAAGCTTTATAAGATAACAAATTTTAGTAAATAAAAACCATTTGCTTCTTCAATTTAGGTTTATGCTTCAAATGCCAAGAAGCTAGCTCCCCTTGGGTCGAGCCAGGCAAATGAAGCACTCGACAACACTATAGGAAGCAAAGCTCCAAAAATCAGGCACTACGGATCGAGCGAAAGCAACAACTTCCAGGTTGCATGTGCTGTTGGCCAAAAGAACTTAGGCCATTCTTATGTTTCTCAGGTGAGCAGATATAATATCATGAGCATTTTGTACACTTCCCAATTTGTGAGATCCATTGAACATGACACATTATCCAATGTGTCCAGTGTTATACCAACAGTACCTATTGCATATCATTAGTCACCAAAAAAATTAAAAAAACACTCTACTATAGCTTAGACTATTGTTTTTTCTAAGACAGGTGAATTTCTTTTAGGCTTTTATGAAGACACAACTGTCACCAGGTTCGAATTCTTTAAAATTTGCAAGGAAAATGGACAAGAGAATCCTGAATTTGAAAGAGAAACAGAAAACAAGAGAGTACAAGAAGAAAAGTAATTGAGAAGAAAGAGAAGCGATTGAAAAAGATGAAACAGCTTGAGAACAGAGAAGGA